CTACTGGGTTGGAAGTCATCGCTATTAGGTTGGAGGCCATCGCTACTAGGTTGGAAATTTGCCAAGGAAAAAAGAATCCTTGCCCTTGTTGTGCCTGGACACATTTAGACGTCCACTCTCCAGGAGCGATTGGCTCTCCAGGATCAGAAGCTTGTCGGACCAAAAGCTCGTGGGACTTTGCGATTGCAATGCTGGCACCCTTTACCGCCATCCAAAAGAGTGCTAGTAACGGACATTTCGTTCAAACCCTCCTTGAAGAGGACTGCTTTCAACAAGGTGGTAGGTTTCACAAAGACCTGGCTGTTCTTGTTGGGTGGTAAAACTTTGCGATCTTGTGTTTTGCAGTTTTTTCATGTGCATACATGTGTGTGTTTGCATAATACTTTCTTTTACTTTAACTTTTTGTTGTTGTCCTACAATGAACATGAGGTTTCTGTGGGCATTCGTTCGGATGCGTTTTTTTCTTGTTGTGATCTTGGTGACTTTTAAGATCAGCATGTATGTAGAGATGTTTGTGTCTTCACATAGCTCTCAATGTCTTGTTAGCCTTCGTCGTTTTCGTCGTTTGCCCATGGACTTCTGTTTTTGGAACTCTTAGATGTGGACTTGACGTCGGAGGTCTTGGCTGGCTTGGCTTTACTCCGAAAACTATCGAAAACTCTTTCGCCCGCGATCGATCTGGGTGCCAAAGGCCAGTTTCGCGGACCAACGCATCTCGCAGTGCTATGCTTTGTGTCTCGTAGCCACAACAAAAGCTGAGAAACCGCATGAAACTTCTGTTGATTCGTGCACTGCAAATAACAAGGACCATGTGCAGGTGGCGGGGCAAGTCACCGGATCAAACATACTCCCTTTTTCCAGAAAAGGCCCAGCTCGGGACAGCATTTTGCATACTGTCATACTTCACAGACGTATGACGTTGCTCAATTCATGCCACGTCTACCTATGCCAAAACCGCTTCCAAGGGCTGAGGTCTTTCAATCCTAAGGCACCATTTGTCGCAACCAATGTTCATTGAAATGTCACCAAGGTCCAAGCATAGAAACACCGTTTTTGCAGGACACCACAAAACCTCACCGTTTCAGGATCGCACGTGCTTGTGAAGCTGCGCGAGAAGCTGGTGCCGAGGCTTTGGATGGCTGTTGACCTTTTTTGCTGAACGGAATGGTGTGTCAGAGTTGAAAGATGGTCCAGAAGATGGTAAACAAATTCTAGATTGCTTTTAAATTGTAAGCTTGATCGAGCTTGACAGGTGGTCAACCAGCAGGTAAACATTTGGGTCTTCTTGCAGCTCTTCCGCTCTATGAGGCGCAAGCAGGCACGACCAGCGGTGCGTTCTGACCTCCGGTTTGAGATCTAATCTCCGGGAACGAAGCAATAGAACGTGGTAAGGTGCCTTGCTACTAGTAGCTTTTTGCTAGTAATGCCCTTGTTACTAGTAGTAATGCCCTTGTTGCCAGTAGCTTCTTGCTACTAGTAGTAAGGTGCCTTGCTGATTCTTCCCAGGACGAAGAGCACGAAAGGAGGCTGATGCTTGCTTCCGAGGAGGCAAAGTTTAGCTCCCAGGACTGGCGTCCCTGATTCTCCGAAGCATACTTGTTAGCTTGAGCACGGAAGCAATAGATTTAACATTGACTTAGATATCTTAAATTGGCATTGTCCAGGAAGTCAGCCAATTCCAGGAGGCCATGCGTTTTGATCGCACGAATCTAGGACATATATACTTGGCCCATCTTGGCTCGCTGCAAAGGCCAAGAACGCATTTTCTGACAAAGGCCCTAAAAAACTTTGCTACTAGGAACAAGAACGCTACTAGAGGCTCCTGGCCTTACTACTAGGAGCAAAGACGCTACTAGGAACAAAGGGCATCGCTACTAGGAGCAAGGACGCTACGTTCGGGGCCGCCAAACTTTGCTAGTGAGTTTGTGTTCGGCCAGGTCTTTGACCATGCGTGGATGACCTTCATCGGAGGAAATCCAGCGAGTGACCAAAAGCACTTGCCAAGGACCGTCCGAGCGGTACACGACGTTTCGTCCGGAGGCGGGTCCGCTTAACACATCAACTGAACTAGTTACTTCGCTATTAGGTTGGAGGCCATCGCTATTAGTCGGCTTTGTGTCGCCACTCATTTCAGATGGCTGGCTGGGGAATGGTTGGCGAGTGGTTTGGTCACCAAGTGGTCTTCGCAATCTCCTGGTGTTCATTGCGATTGGCTGCCCCTTACTAAAACCAACAAGAATGTTTTCTTTTTGCATTTCGCGCCAGCTTCTTTCAGCAAGACAAATTGCCCTGGCCTGGCTCCTGCTGCCTGGTAAGGCCAGCCAGGCTTCAGACCTGAGGTCTTGGCCTCGAGGGGCAAGAATGCTACGTCAGTAGAAATGCCCTTTGATACTAGTAGCGATGCCCGGAGCTCCTAGTAGCCTCTTGTTACTAGTAGTAAGGCCAGGAGCTACACCAAACAAAAGACACAGCAGATCAATCAGTGGAACGGGATTCCTTTGCTGAAAGTTTTGAGTTTTTGAAAAGCTCCTCGCCTGCCAGGACTGGCATCTATAAGTTGTTGCGAAGCATGGGGATCCGAGTTGAAGGAGCCAAGTAGAGTTGAGTGATCAATCTTACCGATGGAGCAATTCGCAGAAATGGCGTTGATAGAGAAGGAAGAGCCGCAAAGCCTGTGCATCATTTTGCATCGGCTTGCAGAGCCATCGCTAGTAGGTTGGAAGCCATCGCTATTAGAAACAAAGAAACAAGAAAGAAAGCATATCGCTACTAGGAGCAAGGACGCTAGTAGCGTCCTTGCTCCTAGTAGCGATGCCAGGAGCCCCTAGTAGCGTCCTTGCTCCTAGAAAAAATAACATATCGTTTGCTCTTTGGGAGGCGGGCTTGGAGGGCCCGGTGTTTGACAGGAAAAGACCGACAAGCCTTAGACGAGGAGATTACAAGGCTTTGTGGCAAAGACGGGTGGTGTTCTCAGTGGCAAACAAGCTGACCACTTTGCAGGTCCTTCAGCCTGAGCTGTTGGATATTCTAAAAGTATGGTTGCTGAAAGACACCACACCGTGGAGTTTCCCCAGTTTGTTGTGGATTCTTGAGCTTCTCGAGGCTTGATTTTCCGAACTTTCTCTTGCTGATGAGATGGTTGGTGGATGTGGACTTCGGCCAGATTTCCACACGCAGCCACTGATGTTTGCGGCAAATTTTGCTACCGCATGGACAGCATTTGTGCTGTTTTTCAATGCTTTCCCTGGTTCACATTCCAGTGCTTGCAGCATTTCCTCAAGTTTCATCTCACACGAAAACCCAAGTCCAAAACATGTATCTTGAAACAAAGACCGCAGTGGCCCTGGAAAGCAGCTGACTTTCTGACAGTGCAACTGCAAGAAAATGCAGTGCCAACGGCTGCAACGATGCTCGAGATGTTTCAACATGTTGGAGTGATCCAAGGGATCAACTGTTCAAAATAGCTTCTTAGAGCTCTTTCATATGTTCAGCAAAGTTCTTTCATGTTGCAGCCGTGTTTCCGTGTTTCCGAAAGATAGATGACACGGAAGACTGCTTAGCAGTCTTCTCAGTTGACCTCGTCGTTCCATTCGCGCGACTTGGAAGGCTCATATCTAAGCCTCTAAGCCAAGTCGCAAAAGAGAGGCATCGAGGTCATATTTCCTGCTGTGGCAGAGTCCCAAAAGGGTTTTCAAAAGGAAACAGCTGACATCGACAACGCAAAGGTTAGGGAATTGAAGAACACTGTCCAAGCACGCAGTTTTGCATGGCTTTGAGTATTTTTTTCGATGAGCCACGTCCGCAAAATGATGCTCCTTTGTTTTCTCTTCGGCCCAAAGTTGACCACAGAAAGGACTGGGAGCATTTAGGATTAGTCCACGTAGCCATTTTGTGCACATATTACCGACCAAAGCAGCTGTCCAAAACCAAACCTAAATGTGACAGTCTTTCATGATTTCCTTGCACATCAGAAGGATGGGACCAATGGGCAAATCGATGACCATAGATGACCATAGATGACCTAGTCAAAGATAGTTTACCACCTCAGAGACCTTTGAGATTGTCAAGCAAGAGGGACGGCAGAGGCCTTACCCTGACCGCATGCGCTTGAAAGCAGTCTTCACCTCCTTGAGACTTGACTCGTATCACTGGTGAGACATTTTGAGACCCTCATGTGCCGTTCTGCTCTTCATGGAGAAGGTGATTGTGACAACAAGGTGCACTGCTGGGACAACTGCAACAAGGTTGCATGCGCTTGATGATGGAGCTTTACTATGTAATTGACTTACAGAGAGATATTGTAGGGTTCTCTAGACAATCAACAGGGCGGGAACCTTTGGCATGACAATGTTTCTGAAATATGGAGAGATGGACTCAGCCATGTGTCAAGTCAACCTTACTGGCAAGAGACAATCATGAGAGTTTCGCTACAACCAGTTTCATTATCCTAAGCAGCATCATGCAGAGATGAGGGTGCTTAATTTGATTTGTGCAGGCAATCATTGGTCCTCAGAACACTGCAGGAATGTATAGGAACTTGGAAGTGATGCTGTTGGCATAGGAACATGCATTGTTGTCCGGTACACACTCACTGCCTTGGTTTTATATTTGATACGCTGCAACCTACGACAAAGGCAACATCTCATTTAAACATTGTACCTTCCTAGATCTGGATCTACAGACTTAAACACAATTGATGTCCCTCCCACATCTCGAACGACTGCAAAGACCTGTAAATACGTCTACCATTTTGGAACACAACGCAAAGCAGAATAATAGGTCGCCATACTCTTGAGTGGCCCTGAAGGAGGTGTTGAGAGTGGCACAAGATGTCACAAGTATAACTTCTTGCTAGTAGCTTCTTGCTACTAGTAGCAATGCCAGGAGCTACTAGTAGCTTTTTGATACTAGTAGTAAGGTGCCTTGCTACTAGTAGCTTCTTGCTACTACATCAAAAGAATTGTGTAAAAACACGCGAACCACCAGTTGCTTTGAACATTTCCCAGGTCCTATTCCCTGTCGGCAGTGTCATTTGAATATATATATATAAGTTGCTCTATATAAAATGTTGTTTGAACCAATGTTGAAACAATAAGCATTCTTAGAAGTTGCTTTGATGTATGTTGACACTACCCACAAGGATTGAAGTTTTCCCAAATGTCGATGAGCGACCGGACTGGTCCGCGCAGGTGAGCATTGATCCCATGGCCACAGGCTTGCGGCATCTTGCGGCCAATGAAGGGCCCTGCAGCTCGCCGGGCCAAAGGCCGCGTCCTGCGCCGTGAGTCTTTTGATGTGATTGACGTGAGTGGAGACCAGCTGCAGCTGAGCTCAGCTAAAATCGGTTTGAAAATGAAATTGTTTGGCCTCCAACCTACTGGCGATGGCCTCCAACCTAAGATGAAATCGTTTGGCGTATGCCAGGTGCCGAAGTTTGGAAACCTGGCTTCACAGACTGGGTCAGATACTCAAAACCGACAACATCGACATCGAGATGTTTCGTTTTCTTCCACCGCCGGGAACCGGCTGAGTGGCTAAAAGGCCTTTTGCACAGTTTTCAGCATGGTTCTCAGCTCGGTTCGCCCTGGCATGGTTTCAACTTGATTGTACATAGGTAGTTTGCAATGATATGAAACAAAAATCCATAATTTTTGGTTCTGCCTGGGCATTTCTATGGCAGGTTGCTGCCGTGTTTTGCGTGAAGACGTTGCTCGATCCAAGCGATTTCGGCCCCCAGAGGCACCGGACATGCTGTTTTTGTTTTCCATGTTCATTGTTTCAGCCGCTTTCTACAGTCCTTTGTCTTTTGTTTTTTCAACTTGAAGGCCTCACGCTGTTCGAGTCCGAATTGAGCCCACGGCGCCCCCGCTGGTAGAGCCTGTGTTGGTCACAGCTCCAGTGTCGACAACAACCACCTGGACAAGCTGGACAAGCACAAGGACAAGCGACACCCAGCCCTTTCAGGCCCCTCAGGCCCAGCATGTTTTGTTTTTTGAGCAAGCTCCTAGTTCCTAGTTGATTAAGTAGGCGCCTACTTAATAAAGGTATAACGAACTAAACAAGCTACTTAAGCTACTTAAGCTACGTACTACCTGCTGGACGCAGGATAGCGCTCACTCTAATGATCCTAGATTTTTAGGGAAACTTAGACATCTTAGACATCTTATATATCATTTATATATTTAATACTATATATTTATATTATATCAGGTAGCCAGAGCTCCACTTCACCCAGACAGACGAAGTCTTCAACCTGCAAAGGATGCGAACTGTCAAGTCTTTTCCTCAGCAGATTGAACAATGAATATGTTTGTCATTGAATATGTTGTTTCAAGAGGTGTGATCATTTATCCATGCTGCTGCATCCATTTGTTTCTTCTTGGCAGACTTGCGAGTGAGGTAGAGATCCCAAAGCTGGCAGCGGAACTCGCCAAAGGTTTGCGAAGTCCCAAGGCACATCGCAATCAAAGGCCTCACTACTAGGTAGGGAATGGAAATCGCTGTTCTGAACTACTTAGCACCTTGATGACATAACTCCTCACTGGACTAGCCTCAGGGGATGGACTAAATTATTCTTCACCAATCTCAATTGGAGCAATGGGTGACTTCAGCACTGGAGTAGCGTAGGGTGTGTCATGTTCAAGCATTCCCAACATCATCACAAGCAAGCAATCAATCTCGCGACTTTCTCCCCCAAGCCCACATATGTGCACATCGTCTGGTGCTTGAGCGTCGACCTAAACCTGGGGCTGCGCTGGCCCCTCAAAATGCGTCAAATGGAAAATGAATGAGAACATGCCAGGATCAGAAGCACATCAGAACAACCGAGGGAGACGGTCAAGGCACAATCTCACTACATCTTCAAACACAAAATCAAATTTGAAATCCCGAGAAACGAGGCCTTATTACAACTTGCCTCCCAAAAAGAACAAGGATTTTGTTTGCAGTGGGTTTTTAATGGTTTTAAATACATTTGGCCGTACCTAGCCCTTAATGAGCCACTTTGGAGTGTGTGAAGTGACCAGAAACCCACCAGGATCAAGCCGCTTTGGATCTCGCAGCTGAAGCCTGGAAGAGGAGTGGCCGGTGGAAGACCATTAGATCACCCAAGCTTTTTGATCTGCTTTGATTTCTGCGGTTGAGCAATCACACTCTGCAGGCTGTTGGCGGGAAAAATCCAAGTGGCGTACATGCGCCAAAGGATGTGCAGTCGGATGAAGGCAACTCTTTTCCTTTGCGTTTCAACTGTGTAGCAGCAGAAGAGTACCGTTAGCCCGTTTAAGATAAGGAGTGGGACAGTAACCTACGGCGACGGCGTGTTGACTAAGAAACACATTTCGTGTACCATTGGTTGCAACCACTCATGATCGTTGATATTGCTGCCTGAGCACCGTGCCATGAATGTGGGAACACTCGGTTTAAAGGTTCTGTCAGGTTTGGTCAGAGATCAAAGAATAAGAATACACATGGAAACACCAGTTTCAGTACTAGGCCTAGGCATGTGGAGGCCATCGCAAGTAGGTTGTCAGGCCTATTAGCATGTTTAGTACTAAGCTTATTGCTTTTGGGTTCGCGGACTCTGCCAGAATTGGCTTGAGACCTTAACGCAGATCTCCTGGATGCCACAAGGCCAGAGTTACCTGGAGTTCAAGAACACATGATTTTTTGTGCCCTCAGAATCCCCGGCCGTGCATCTTGAGGGCGAGTGAGATCTGTGATGGTTTGGCCCCAAGCGGCCTATTTGCATTTTGGCGCCCGATGCTGAGATTCTTCGGCTCGTGTGGAGCTCGTGTGCTTTGTTGTGTGTTTTGTGTGAGCAACGTAAACCAGAGCTCGACACCAAAAGAGCTCGACTGCTCTACACCTTATGAAGTGACATCGGCTGTTTGGAAGGACCAACTGTCCAACTTGCTTAAATAGTTTCAACGGCACTACTCTTTTGGTAACCTGAATAGAAAGGGACCAGAAGGTTTGACTTTTTGTTCCCTTAAAGGGGGAACTTTCAGACTCAAATAGCTACCACTAGTAGCTTCTTGTTCCTAGTAGTAGGGCCAGGAGCCCCTAGTAGCGTCCTTGTTCCTACACCAGTTTTTGGGTAATTGTTTGGCAATTGTGAAAAAGTACAGTGTGTATTCTCAATTGAGCTGCATCTCCTTATTATATTAAGCTCTATTCGAGGCTCTGGGAAAGCGCACAAGGAAACGTTTCGACGGCTTGCCTAGCTTTGCTGCCAAGCTTTACTTGTCATCCCAGGTCACACGAGTTTGGAGTTTGGGGGAGTACGCGCAGCACAGATCTCAATTTCCAACTCATTTGGAGCAAATCAAATCGTTTTGCTGCATCATTTGCATCGCACTCCATGAGTTGCAGATTGCTGGCACTCCATGGCAATTCTGCTCGCCACATCAAGGGCTCAAAGGTGCAGCTTTCGTCGAAGCGAACCTCACAGAATGGGCCCCAACCAAAATTGCCAAATGCGCTGAGGCGCAGCGCTACTAGCAAGAAGCTACTAGGAGCAAAGGCCATAGCTACAAGTAGCAAGGACGCTACTAGTAGCAAGGTGCCTGACTACGAGTAACAAGAAGCTACTAGTAGCACTCGGTGAGAAGTCTTTCACGTTGTACCTGTTTGGTTCGCCGCGATGTCTTGCTCACGCCAAGCCACCTGAGATTGCTTGATTTTTGCAATGGCACCTCAATCCAGGCGCCGCCCATGGCCGGCCTAGATGGATTGATTCAAGGTGTTTGTATTTTGCGAAGACACAAACACGCCCAAAACGGAATTCTTGCATTGAGTGGCCCAACATGTCAAGGCAGACGGTCCCTGTGTCAGTGGCTGCTTGCCTGTTTCGCTTTCCAAGGTATCCGTCGGCCCCAAAGTCAGCCAAAGCCGTTCAATGCAAACCTGTGTGTCAGGTTATCCTGGATAGTGGTGTGCTTTTGTGTCCTGCTGATTGCTTTGCCCGGCTGCGAATCCTGGCGCAGATTTGGTAGTGACCGAAGCAGTTTCATGGGGGAGAGTTGCCAAACGAATAAATTTGGATGCAAATTTTAGAATGACTCAGTTGTTTGTTTGTTTATGCAAACATCCCGTCCTCTTTTTGAAGAAGGGCCTCTTAAGACACGTTTTGTAGCACAGACTTAGTCAAGTCCAAGACTGAGCACCGTGTTTGAATTATCGGTTGTACTCTGTGTTTTCTTTATCAATGTGTGTGTTTTTTTTTTTACATATTCTTTCTTTGGGCCTTTAGACCTTACTTTCTTAGTTGGTTAGTTAGTTAGGTAGTTACTTACTTACTTACTTACTTACTCACTGTTTTTGGTCTTACTTACTATTTTTGTAATCCACACACAACTGATTGAGGAGCAATGGTCCTTCCTCAGTTCACAGCGTTTGAGCCGAGGCCGCCAGACGGATCGTGATGCGTTTTTCGTTCATTTGACCCTTCATGGCCTTTTCCTTTGTATCAGCCTTTCATTGTCCTTCGGTCCGTCGGTTGTTTTGATTTTTCTAAGGGCAATTGTGATGTTAAACTCAATGCACCACCAGTCATGTGAGTTCTGTGCGTTTCATGTGCATATGATCCATGCAGAACTTGGTGGACAAAGGCAGCTATTTCAGAAGCCGTCCAAGGAGGCCAAAGTGGTATTGCTCTGAAGAATGCCAACTTGTGATCTTCTTAGCCACAGTCAGTCCTATCCAGGCCTCTTCGAAACTCCAATCCAAAAGATGAAGGCGCGATTGAGTTCTGAAGCATTGATGAGCATGATCTCCCAGGTCACTTCGCATCAAAGCAATATTTAGTTATTACAAACACAGCATGCATGTTCTGACAGAATCTTGGTTTCTGTCACAAATATTTCACGGTTTGTATTTGTGCATTGCACATGCCCATCTTGCCCTGCTTGAACAGGTATGACGCCAAAGTTGCCTGAGGCAGTGCTAGGGTCGAACAGATCTCACCAGCATGCAAAAGGCTTTCAAGAATTTGCAAGAAAAAACTCGCGACTCTTCGCTACTGTAGTAGGTTGGAGGCCATCGCCAATAGGTTGGAGGCCATTACTAGACTCAGGACTCATTTTAAAAGGGTTGCTGTAACTGTTGCTGCATTGCTGCATTTTCTCTTACTGTGCCTCTCACTGCAGTCCGAACCTTGCACATGACACTTGGCTCAATGGATGTGTATTGAATTTTTCTGTTGAGTCTGCTCGCTTTTCAGCTTTTCTTGCTGCTCTTGGACATACAGCATGTTGTGATAAAAAGTAGTGTTTCAAGAAGTCACATTCATTCATTCGGAAGATAAGTTTCGGGGCATTCAACAAGATGAGATTACACCAGATGACTGGCTCATGGTCAGATTTCTTCCTGGACAAGCAGAAACGATCGATTAGAAGCCACCGAGGCTCTGAATGTTGGCGAAGCAGCTTGTTGCGAGGTCTTGGAGGAACAGCTGCAGGTGGCTTGGGGAAGCAGGCCATTCCTTAGATTCCCTGCGCCTTTCAGCATGCTTGCTACTGTAGCTCTCCAGTACTTACTAGCAGTTTTAGAAGCTTGCTACTTACCATACTACTATACTATACCTCCTCCTACCCCCAGGTTTTCATAGCGAAAGGACGAGAGAAGAACAACCGCGACACATTGTCCTTTGCATTCTTGTAGAAACCTTCTGAATTCCAGAGCTGAGACATGGGTCAACACCTCAGACTTCATGAACGAAATCATATAAGTTAGTGCCTATGCAGTCTTACAAACTTGTATGGCACTTGTTGAGGTGTCGGCTTGGTTTGGGCATCAAACCAGTCACCTGAGAAGCTGAGCCAGAAGTTCTTGGTGCAGGTGTGGCCATAGCACGATGGTCAAGAGTTGCACAACAAAAGCATGCCATACGAATCAAACAAGGGCTGCTAGAAGAGGATTCAAACATAGGAACGGGGTGGCATCATTTTGCATCCAAACTGCAGCCTTGTTGTTGACATTTGTTGACCATCAACCTCAGGAAATGGCTGGGATGGCCAACTATGAGCGCACAGTGCGTCAACGAAAGGAAGCTCAACTCAAGTGACTCAAGTCAACAGAACTCCAACCTAATAGCAATGGCCTCCAACCTAATAGCGATGGCCTCCACCCTAGTAGCGATGGCCTCCACCTAATAACAACCTAGTAGCAACGGCCATCCAACCTACTTGCGATGGCCTCCAACTTAATAGTCATGGCCTCCATCCTAGTAGGGATGTCCTCCAACCTACTAGCGATGACCTCAGTGATCGATTGAAACGAATCTATATATTGTTGCATACCTTCTATTGCAATTGCTGCATGGGGTGATCATGGGGAAACGCAGGGAACGTAGGGTGAACGTATCAACTCTGAAGAGTGAGACTTGATCGAGGAACAAATCTTCCAAAAGGCCATACCTCCAGGCGTCGAAAGGCCCGCCGAGCGGCATGAGAATGGCGCACTCATACACAATGCGAGGAAGTCAAATGTCACTTGAACATCTCGGAATTCACTCAATCATTCAAAGAGTTCTGTGTTTGTACTAACTAGTAGCTTCCTGACACATGCAAAAGTAGCCTGCCTATTTTACTACCCTTTGCTTCACGGCCTACACTGCCCTAAAGAAGAAGTTTTTGTGATTGTGAAACGAAGTCCGCAATCAGAATGAATCGGAATGTTCTCAAGTTCTCATGCCAGGCTTGTTGAAGTTGGCGTTGGTGCTGGCGTGAACTTCCCCTACTTCAAGAATGCTGGCGTGAATGAGGCGGACATGGACTTCAAAGTCTCGTGCACACAGCAACTTTGTTGTACAGTCTGCATAGTTGCTAGAGTTGCGGCCATCTTCATGAGAAGTACGTTTTCACAAGTTGCTTCCTTTGTGTGTGTGCTCATTCATGTCAGGTTATAGATTAGGTTGGAGGCCATCGCTAGTAGGTTGCGTGCTCATGTCAAGTTAAAGGAGATGTTTTGACATCCTCCTGGTTTCCCCACCTCCTTCTGCAGGTGATTGCGGTCGAGCCGAACTTGAATTTTTTGCAATCAGCAGAGGCTGCAGCTAAGTCTGCAGATATCCAGCTCCAAGTTCGCCAAGGAGACGCTTGGCGAAGTAGCAGAAAGGCATCATACAGCACCCAAAGCATCTCAGAGCCCTTAAAGGCTCTTACAAGCTCTAACATGCTAAACGGTTGCAGGAAGGGCTTGAAACATCGAAGCTGCGATGGAACGACCTAGGTCATGGAGGAGATGCCTTTCCCTGATGGCTCCATGGACGTGGTTGTGGGCACTTTACTGCTTCTTGGCTTCAAACTGAATATTAGTTATCAATACAACATATAACATATTCATTAAAACCATCAATGTAATATAAGCGGATTGGTTGAGTGCCTATCATGAAGTAAACTAGTCGACCGCCTTCAGTTCTGTTTCCGCATCCTGTCAGGCTGTGTTCCGTTCAAGATCTGCAGCGATCCATTGCCGAAGTCAAGCGAGTTCTTCGGCCGGGAGGGCGCTACATCTTTACAGTCCCACAGCTTGCATTTCGTTGTAATTGCAATGGTCCCCAAGCTGCTAGCGATGGCCTCCAACCTACTAGCGATGGCCTCCAACCTATGATACACACATATATATGATATATTTGTTCCATCATTTATATGCATACGGACACAGCGTGGGTACCTTCTCTGTTTAGACGGTTTCATTGCTGAAGAGTGACTGGTTGCTGGCGAGGAACATGTAGCTGCCAAACAAGGAGATTGGCTTCGATCAGTGTTTGGCCTAGCAGCGTGTTTTGGTTGGTTCATAGTCAAGAAGCGAATGGCGATCAAGTTAGAAAAAAAACAATCGCATGCACTCTGGGTCTGTGGTTCACCCGAAGTGGCTGTTGATTCTTCTAGTGCAATGTCTCGCTGTTTGGTTGCAGTTTGAGAAGCTTAACGGGAGGTTCCTAGTAGCTTCTTGTTACTAGTAGTAAGGCCAGGAGCTAGTAGTAGCGTCCTTGCTCCTAGTAGCGATGCCCTTTGTTACTAGTAGCGTCCTCTTGTAACGGCTTAACGTTTCTGCAGGTTGAGAGGTGTTTCGTCCGAGGCTCAAGACCTACTTGACCCCTTGCAGCAGGCGCTCTTTGATGCTGAAATTGCTGCGGGTTCATTTGAACACGATCATCAGCTTGTGGCAACTCCACTTTTTTGCGTAGACCATGTAAGACTATGGAAAGGTGCCAAGAGCCTTTGGAGCCTTGGCATGCTTGCATCAACATCAAGCTTTGGCAGGCATTTGCAGCTGGCTGCCATTTGACGCGGCAGCCATTGCCACTGATTCGGGAAACGTTCCCAACAGTTTCCGCTGAGAGCAGCTTGTCGAGAAGAGCAGGCAGAAATGATGCAAAGTCCGAACTCATCATATTTTCACTCTGGTCTCGATGTTCATCCTTCCAATTCAAGTTAGGATGCTGCCAAGCTCAGAATCCAGCGTGAGAGGAGGATGTTTGATTCATTGTTTTTGTTACCAGACCGATGGACACAGACCAATGTGGTTCTTCTCTTGCTCACCTTTCGCCTAACTAGTAGAGATGCACGCAAAGCTGCAGTGCTCGAAGTCGAACTCAGGTTGGAGCCTCTTTGATGACGAGTTTGCAGGCTGGAGAGAGATGCTTATTCGTTTTGTTGTGCTTGGAAGCAAAATCGACTTTTCCAGGTGATGGAAAGGCTGCTTTGCCGCCGCATTTTCTTTTGGCACCCCACATCTCAGGCTACGCAGAGGCATAGCGACCGCATGAAGAGCTTTTGGTCTTCGTCAAGAGCACGTTGCTTTGGAGACAAGCTGCAGCTTTGCTTCGCATCTTCAGAAGTTGGTAGACGATATGCAATTGAAGACCGAGAAGAAGCAGGAGATGATGAGTCCGAGTGTGACGAAGGTGATGAGTCGTTTGGCCAACCACTCCACGGATCTGTACGCTACCCACGAGTAGGCACGCCCCAGGCTGGAAAAAGGAACGTGCTTGAAATGCTTCTCATGTGCTCCAGTAGGAAGAAACAAGAAGCTAGTAGTAACAGGTGCCACGCTAGTAGTAACAGGTGCCTTACTAGTAGTAACAAGAAGCTAGTAGAAACAAGTGCCACGCTACTAGGAACAAGTGCCTTACTAGTAGTAACAATGTTTGCTAGTAGCATCAAGACAGTGCCGGAGCGGATTCTGAGGTGGGCGGATTTGTGTGCAGCACTTGCCACACTCGGCTTAGAGGCAAGCTGCTCACGTATTCGTATCTGAAGCAGTTCCCACTTGGCATTCTGATGAATTGTCAACCTTGCATTCAGGTCACACTTTGGCCTTTTCAAAGAAAAACGTACCCAACCGTTCGTTCGCGCCTTAGGTTTCAACATATTTCAACACGTGTACCTTAGGCTTCAACAATTGGTAGTTCAGGCCACTACCAAAGCGTCCAAATCGTGTACACTGACTACAACGGTGTGCCCACCTCAGCACGTTCCGAGTATCAAGGCGTTACGCACGGCTAGGCGGCTAGGCCAGGCAAGGTTTCTAGGTTGCGATGTTGGAAGATCAGAGCTTTTGTTGTTTTTGGTTCTTCATTAGACATGTTTTAGATGTAATGCTGTGGTTTGCCCGTAATTACCTTGCTATAAAGTTCGTGACTACTTCACTATGTGACAGTACAGAGGACGTTTAATGCAACAATACTGAAAAGAAGCCGATAAAGTAAGATGTATTTCATCGCGGTTATGTGGTCCCAATCAATTTGATTTTCATTGTTTGCTTGCTCGCTTGCTTGCTTGCTTGCTTGCTTGATTGATTGATTGATTGATTGATGCCTTCGAACTAGAACTATATCCACTAGACATTCATTCAGGTGCATGCGGGCAAAGGCTCCAATGCTTTGCCACCACCAGACAAGACCTGGCTCCTGGACGGTCCATCACAGCATAACTAGTTTTGATCCACAATTTCACATCATCTTGGTAAGTGCACTAGTACAAACTGGACATTACCGTACGAAAGCTTTATAGAATTCCTTATGTATCATGTCTTTCAAGCACTAAAAGCGGCCTCCAACCTACTAGCGATGGCCTGGCACTGTGCTTTCAGTTCGTGTGACACCCCGAAGCACGGTGCCCCGAAGGACACATTTGGGACCGATGGCACCGTGGTGGACAACGATTTCTTCGGACGAGTTCCACCGCTGACGGAGAGAGTGTTCTTTCAGAATGGTGTTCTGTTCAGAATGGAGTGTGCTTGAGTGTGCTGTGTTTCCTTTTTCCCACACCAAAAAGAACGCAGTGTTCTCGATGATGTTTTTGCCATATTTTGTGATGTGTTCTATGTGGAGGAGTGATATCAGACTGAGTCTGACCGATTTTGTTTCAGTGTCAAAACTCAGAGTATCACCTAACATCACCCTCGCAACCTCAACCTGTTCACACCATCGTAGTCACCATCAGGTGACTACGAACCAAGTCGTGCCACGATGGAAGGCGCCCTCGCAGTAGAGAGGCTCTCCAACTCCTGTTGCAAAGTGCATATCTGACTCGTGGCAGCGCTTTTCTGTAGAATACTCGGAGGCTCAGATTCAGTGGCAGGTGTGAGAACTCGCGCACTTTGTTTGAATATATATTCCGTGTTGGAGACCCAGGCAGTCACTACGAGGTTGGAGGCCACCGCTACTAGGGTGGAGGCCATCGCTAGTAGGCCGGAGGCCATCACTATAAGGTTGGAGGCTATCGCTATTCACGAAAGCTAGTGTCAGCTAGCTGGAGTTACTCTTGCTTTAGCAAGTCATCGGCTGGGGGATGGAATCACGTGCAGACTATCCTTTGCATCGCAGGACTATCCTTTGCACCGCTTTCTGACCTTGGCCCCAGGCACGCCGTGTGTAGCAGTGCCTTGAAGTCTCGTTTGTGCACAGGATGTGACTTTCTAGGTGGAAGGAGTAACGGGTTCTGGGTGGAAGTCCAAGAATAAAGACTAAGGCCCACCAGTAGCATTGGAAGTAATTTCCAGATGTTTGCAGTAGCAGGAGTGGTAGGAAAAGGTAGTAAGAGCATATTCTTGCCAATCAGGTTACAGCAGCCGAAATACCTTTTTGGGTGTTGCTGCTGTTGCTGGCCGATCAGACCTATACTCAGTTCCAAGTCCATGTATGTGGTGGTTTGAATCAAGTGCTTTCCTTTCAAGGACAACACCTCTATTGCCTCACTACCTCCTCGAACATGGCAATGCGTTCTTTGGAGCAAGGTCGCTTGGCACCACTGTTTGGTCGACATATGGGAGCCGATCGTAAATGCAAATCTAAGAATTATGAAAGGGCATGTCTATCTCAGCATCTGAAATTGTAAAACCCTGCATCGCGGTTGATCGGCGATTGGTGGTTCGCAACATTTGTTGTATCAGAATCGACCATTGTAAGAGGAGAAATCAGTATTATATGGGATGATAATCATGCTACAGTTCAGCCTTACACTGTATTCGGGTTTGCCTAGACACTGTGTTCAATAGTGATAGCCAATATAGCAAAGAAGAATCAGAACAACAAAGTTCAAAGTCTACCAGCCCAGATCAATTCAATTCTCAAAAAATGTCGACGAAATCCGCGATTGGTTCGCGATTGTGCCGCGATTGTTAAACCCGCCTGTGTAGGCCCTGGCTCACGCCATGTCTCTAAATACTGTGATATGTAGCAATGTGTGGACGATTCTTTGCGTAAAATAGTGCATACGAGAGTACTCTCCCGCGATTGACACCGGGGTCGCGATTGATTCGCGGTTGATCGGCGATTGTAGCTGCCTCAGATACCTTTGATCAACACCCATATGTCGATATCGAAGCAAAAAGGAAGCACAGACTGGAGGACACGTTCTTATTTCCCACCATTCAATTTGCACCTACTGGCGATGGCCTCCAACCTAATAGCGATGGCCTGCTTCCAACCTAAGAGCGATGGCCTCCAACCTCGAACCTAGAAGCGATGGCCTCCAACCTAAGAGTGATGGCCTTCAACCTAGAAGCGATGGCCTCCAAGCTAATAGCGTTGGCCTCCAACCTAAGAGTGATGGTCTTCAACCAAGAAGCGTTGGCTTCCAAGCTATTGGCGATGGCCTCCAACCTAATAGCGATGGCCTCCAACATTTTAACCAAAATTTAGGTGCATCCATGGCTGGCAGAGTCAAATGGCTTTCCAGCCTACCACGCGAACTTGCTGCACGAGTACACGAAGCACTGCAAAGTCATTGCAACCGTTGATGCCAAGGCACCAAGATGGACAAATTTGGCACACAAGATAAGATTGCTATGGTTTTCTTCATGTGTTGTTCACCTTTTGATTGTTTTGCTTGTCTTCAAACGTCTTTTTGCATAGATTGGTAGTGCGTTTAATTCAGGAACTAGGTAATTAGGCCTTGCAACTGCAATGGTGCTGGTTTCAGTTTGGAGATTCATCCTTGCTTTCATTGGAATGTCAGCGACGAAGTGTTGCCTTTGGAGTGAGATTGAGTTGACGTATGCAGGACACCTACAAGACTAGCCAACTGATCCGGACGTGTTGCCCAGAAGTTGAAATACGGGATGTACAGCCAGATTCTCAGACAATCTCTAAGATTCTCCGGAAGAAGAAACGGTCCAAGTTGCTTGCTCGACAAATTTGCTTCAGGTCACCTCAGCAATTTCAATCTTTGCTTCGCAGCTCTGCGGTCTATGTTGGAGTAGGCGCTGGAACACTTTGCTTTTCTTTGTAGTAGCTCCTGGCATCGCTACTAGTAACAAAGGGCATCGCTACGAACGGAGCAAGGACGCTACTAGTAGCTCCTGGCATTACTACTAATATATAATAAGAAGCTACTAGTAACAAAGGCATTTCTACTAGTAGCAAGAAGCTACTAGGTTGGAGGCCATCGCCTACTAGAAGCAAGAAGCTACTAGTTTGTGTCATCCTGGGAAGAGGGACCTTCCGAGTACACAAGACTTCGCTACAAAACAAAGAATAATTCCGGATGGATTGCAAGTGTTGATTCATGCAACAACTGATTTTTCTGCTGAGCCACTTTCCTGAGAGCGTGAATTTGCCCAGAATCCAAGTTGGTGCATGATAGCACTTGACACTTAGTTGGACTTCCAAGGGTGGCTATCATTTCTTTGTGCAAACAGAGTGAACACGACAGCATACAACATACATTTTGGAGCATTCCAAGACAGACTCCCCAATTTGAAGTTTTGGAACCAGGCCAGGAGCGCAAGAACTTGTAGAATTGCTCAGAATTTTAGTGCTCATGGCGAGCGAAGAAGATCCGAAAGAAGGGGCGCCAGTGACGCACTTTCTTTCGCAGTTGGATGACCCTTTGCTTAACAGGCAAAATGTTGCACAGCCGAATTCATGCCACTGGAGCCTTTGCGTGGCAGCAAATGCATTGGACTATATGGGTCGTGACATATGTTAAACAGGTACATCAACTGCTACGATTTGGAATTTGGCAGCCGTAAACCGTGATCAAAGGTTAAATCAGCACAAATGAAAAGCAATGAAAAGCATTATATTGTTTTTGCACTTGCCAATGTTTCTGCAGTCAACACTGAGGTTTAAAGGTAGCAAACGTGAATCAAACAAACCATGCACGCGAGGGTGACAGGAGAAACCAGTGCTTAAAGCACGACACATTATTATGCGGAAATCGTTGTATTTACGAGAAAAATGTAGGATTTCCTACCTGCAACCGTTCTGTCTCAATGTATCGGAGGCAGCATAATCCCTCCTGACCGCAGTAAATTCGAGTTGAGGAGAATCAAAAACATGCGCTTGTTGGTCAAGCGCTCCAAGCAGAAAGCAGCCAACGTTGGGAAGAACTTCTCGAGTCCATTGCGTCAAAGAGAGCTGCGGAGCGAATCATAAGCTTTGTGGAGATGTCCGGACGAGAGACTCAATTAAAACTCAATCCCTTTGAGAGGCACGGGGTCTCAAGAGTTTGTCAAGAATGTGGAGTTACAGACTTCAAACAACAATATTAGCAATGGACTCCACTAAAACAATACTTTCTTGAAGTTCTTCTCTGGCAGGATGGAAACAATTCATCACCGCTTATGTGCTGTACTTCCTCCAGCGAGCCCGGGCATGTTGCGGATGATCAAATTCCTTCACGGGAGCACACCGATTGCGGAGAAAGCCATCGTCGCGATGTTACCAGAGCAGGTCGCCATCATTTGCACTGAAGAGCCCGAGTCAGATGACGAGACTGAAGACGAGTCTCTAAGCCTCGACCTCTTTGGCTGAAGTCGCAATCGGGGAAAAAGGCAAAAGAGAATTAGTTCGAGTCCGCATAGGGATCGTGTTGAAGCAAAGCTGATGCCAACGTGTTTACAAAGAAAATGGTAAGAAAAGCTTTAAAGGTCCGAAGAAAGAACAATACTGGAAACGGCTTCAGATGTAAATCGATGCGGAGCGAGCTAAGAGTCATGGCCAAGCGGGGAGAACGTGGGGGTGTCCTGTTGGAAATAGCCGCAGCAAGTGAGAGTCTTTTGCCAAGAAAGCTGTTGAGATGGAACGTCGTTTTCTGCATCGGGCTTCTCAGATGGCGGGTGGTCGTGGTGGTTGTGGTGGCTGTATGTAGTGTAGTGAAGCGTGGTCAGGGCGTTTCCGCGAGAGATTCTCGCAAAGGGAGTGCAGTGGATCTGAATTTTTGGCGTGTTTTCCTTTCCGATGGACACTGCTTTGCTTTCCTTATCCAGAACGCAGGTGAACCTTTGATTGCGCCGTCCTGCTTTGAAGCGCTCAGCTTGGGTACACACGCCAAGGCCTTAGGCCGTTTTGACGGTGGCCGTGCAAAGACTCGATGCCGAAGACTCGAACCCAAGACCCAGACCAGGAGCCCCTAGTTGCTTCTTGCTCCTAGTAGTAAGGCCAGGAACCCCGAACGTAGCGTCCGATCGCTCCTAGTAGCCATGCCAGGAGCCCCTAGTAGCTTTAGTGTGTTTGTTCATTATTTTTATGTGTTTGTTCTTCTATTACACCTTCAGACCTTTCTTTTCTCGTTTTGGTCTTGAAGAAAGGGCTGCTCTGAGAAATGGTTCTCAAATTTGAGCAGACAGCGAGGTCGTACAGCCACGCTTTCCTGAGCATCGCACTTTGTGGCAAGCTCAGCGACAAGGCTAGTGACAAGTGATTGTATGTTTTTGTGCATTTTCCATTTTCTTGCAACTCTTAAATACCTTAGTTTTTAGTCATCGTCTTTAAGCCCATGGGGAGAACGTTACTTGCTTCATATCTGCGGGCAAGAATCGATGTCTGAAGGAAGGCCTTGTGGCCGAAAACGAATCGGGTGCCCCAAGACTGAGGAAGAACAAGCCAACAACAGAGAATTGGACATCGCAGCATCCTTTTCTTGAACAGGCATGCTGTGAGATTCATACTGTTCAAATGGATGTTCAGAAGCATGCGAGTGTTCTCAGCGTGGATGCAACGGGACCGTTCACTATCAGAAATGCTTAAGTGCTCGCTGCTTCTTCGTTACACCATAGAGGTTCAAGAATTCAATTATATGTTATATGTTATTATGCTTTATCAGTTATGTTCAATTCCCCCCGTCGTGCGCTCGCATGGTTTTGAGTCTGATGTCCCCTTCACGTATATAGATGTGATTGCTTAGAGTAGCCAAGAGTCAAGAGGAGATGGTTTGTCAAGTCAGCGGTGGAAATGTACATACATGTACCTCTTCATGAGCAGGGACCAAAAATTAACTACCACTTGACCAGTGGTGAAATCCTACCACCTTACCAGCGAATGGTTTATAAGAGTTGTAGGAGTCCTCAAAAATCCCCAGATGATGTGAAATGCCCAACCCAACCGGACCTGACCTGTTTCGCCAATGGGCATTGACAAATGATCCTTGAGCAGTGAAGAACAGCGCGACTTGCGTGGAGCGAAAGCAGGTGCCCGAGCCTTTTGCCTTCACCGTGAACCCTTTGGATCTTGAGGCACAGTCCAAGGAGGACCTATTTGCAGATTGCAAGGAGCGATTGGACGCTACTAGTAGCTCCTGGCCTTACTACTAGGAACAAAGGGCATCGCTACTAGGAGCAAGGACTGTTGCCTTCGCACAAAAGAATGCCATTTGTTTGAAGACCTCCCCTTCTCAGACTCAGCCCACGTCATCAATCCCCCAAAAGGCCTTGACATCTACTTTTCGATCTTTGCGAAGGGCATTTGATTCCATTTACGGTGTGAATCAGGCCTGAACACTTTGGAATCAGCAGCGACAAAAACAAGTTGCAATTTTGAATCTACACTAGGCTGTTCCCAAAGCAGAGGCCAGCGAGGTGGTGCGGCTGTTCCACTTCAAGATTTTTCTTTCCATTTTATTGTATTTTGTGATGCATTGAATGCATTGAAGAGGTTTCTGTGGATTCTGTTTGCTTATTTGCTGGTGATGCAACACCTGCAGGTCTCAGCCTTGCGCGCTTTTTATGCATTTGGAGAGTATCCCGGCAGGTCTGCAGAGAAGGGGTCACAAGTTGTGTCGCAAGTGCCTTCAGGGTGTTTTGATGGTGGAATACAAGTGCCTTACTAGTAGAAATAAGTGCCACGCTAGTAGGAACAAGTGCCACGCTAGTAGAAACAAGTGCCACGCTAGTAGTAACAAGTGCCTTACTAGTAGTAACAAAGAAGCTAGTGTAACAAGAAATGGAATGGTGATGTCTTGCCACGGCAGGGATGAGTTCTCCACTCGTGGCTTCCTGAAGCGCGTGGCTGGAACAGTCGAGGGTACAAGGATGGATCATTGTGTTGTGCATTGTGAAGAGACACCAAAGTCCGCCTCCAACCTAATAGCTTTTGACGGATGCTGATAGAGGTTCTAAAGAATCCAAGTTAATATGTTCCTAGTAGCTTCTTGTTCCGTTCGTAGCGTCCGATCGCTCCTAGTAAGGCCAGGAGCCCCGAACGTAGCGTCCTGTTGTTGATAGTTCATGTCCGTTCCTTTGACTCCTCTGAGCCTGAAACACGAGCGCTCTCCTTCCCTGGAGGTCTGTATAAGAATTCTACTGCTGGTGCGAATGTGTTTAAAGGGCCTAGGTCCAGGTCTTGAATTTCCACGAATGCCTTTTCTTGGAATCCTTGAGGCCTAAGATCTAGAATACTTGCCCTATTTTACCCTATACCGATTTGCTGGGTCATTCGGAGGACGCTGGAGGCTGCTGATTGGGACTGGGAGCGCCAACGACATCCGATGCAGGGGCCCCTGAGCCAGCCTTGTCCACTATACATAAAGGCCGCTTTGCCCCCCTACCTAGAAGTAATGACCTCCAACCTAAGAGCGATGGGCTCCTGAGTTGTTTCACAAAGTGTGCAGATGTTTTTGGATGCATCAAAACGATCGTCCAAGACTTTTGGAGTTTTGTGATGGGGTTTGGGGTCCCAGAGTTGCGCTTTTCGACAGGCAACTGCCCTCACGAGCCCTGGGTCAGTGAAGAACACCTGAAGGCGCTTTGAATGTGCCAAGCTGCTGTGTAATATGAATGGCCATCGCACGAGAGTTCACACACTTGAAGAATGGCCATCGCATGCAGCAACTGTCCAAAGATTTGTGTTTAAAGCAGGGGGATGGTGCGCAAGGGGCGAGCAAGCCATTGAAGGATGCATTCATTCGAGTTTATGTTTAGACTATGATTGGCGATCTGGTGGACCGGCATGGCTCTTGTGGAGGCTTAGTAGCGAAGACGTTCAGCGAAGGTCACCATGAAAGGGCAAAGATTGCACTTCCAGGATATTCAGTAGGATCCCGGGTGTTGGTTGCCATATTGTGATAGGCGTTCACAAATATAAGAAGAGAGATGCAAAGAGCACCCGAAGGGGCACATGGACAGAGTACCGGAACACACAGAGTCCCAAACCCATTCATGAGAGCTGATATGGCCGTATCGCTTGCTTGGTGGGTGCTCTTTGCCACATGTTTCGGCACTGAGAGCAGCCCATTGCTCTTGCAAAAGAAGATCCATTTAGCAGATACTCCCAAGCCCAAACGGAGCCTGGAAGAGCAACTGGAAGTGCTCGAAGTCACTGACCTCCATGACCTGGCTGGAAAATCCGTGTATTTGGTCATGATTGATCGCTTCTCGCGTGAGGGTGGTCATAGCAGTGAGCACCTGGAAGCCTGTGAAGGAGGCCAATGGTGTAACGGAACTTTGAAAGGCATCACTTCGCACTTAGACTACATCAGTGCCATGGGTTTCGATTGTATTTGGGTTACACCTGTGGTGAAGAACTTCTATGGACCTGATCTAGGTGAGAGTGGTTATGGCTATCATGGTTATTGGGCAGAGGACTTTTATTCGATCGATCCTAATTTCGGCACAAAAGACGACTTGAAGGAGCTGGTACAGCAAACACACCGGCATGGGATCCTCGTCGAATTCTTTTGGCAACATGTTTTGCTCAATTTGCAAACGTGTTTGACATGATTGACATTTTGTGTGGGTAATGAATGGGGGCCCCAAGCCAAAATCACTTTTGCTGATCTTGTCAAAGTCCACGTGTTCGGTCCTGTTCGTCTGGTTTTGCAAGACTCGCAAAGGATGTGCTTCATCCTTGACATCGTCTTGAACCACATCCGTCCAGTACATTCCCTCAGCGACCTATCAAAGGTGAAACCCTTCAACGACACCCGCTATTTGCACTTGCTCAATATGTCGGGCATGAGCTTTGACAAGTACCTTGATCCATCTTGATCCTGACTTCAAACAGAAAAATCCTCATCAACTTTTGTTTGTTAACATATGTTCGCTATTAGGAACAAGTGCATCGCTACTAGTAACAAGTGCCTTACTACTAGTA